ACATTCGGGATTTTTCGGGATTCGGGACTGTCCCGCAGGTCTCTACAATTAAGACATAAATTATCTGCTTCAGCAATGTTTCATATTTTATTAATTTTGTTCATAACATAATATTACGTTATTTTTAAAAACAAATACACATTCCTGAAGAGTGAACTGAATTCAAATCAATGTTTGAATGATTATTTATGTTGAACGAAAATCACCCTTGTCATATCCAAATTTTAGGAATCAGAGTCCTTTCGTTAAAAAACAGGAGTTGATCAGGAGACTTTTCTTACAAAATCAAGAAACTTTCTCTCGAAACTAGAAGGAAAATACAATAGTGCCACGTACTTTATTTGGGAAAAAGCAAAGCCTTTTACCCACAAATATTTATGATTTTGTTGTTCATTTTACTGGTCTTTTCAAAGCTGTCTATTAAAAAATATAAACAAAACAGATACAAATGGGCTTTAAGAAACCGCCAAAGAATTGAAACAGAATAAAGTAAACCGTTTCTTACGTCTATCTTAATATTGTTGTTTCACAATTGTATTTTTCTTCCGAGTGAATTGATTTTAACAGTTCTTTACTATTCCAGAGATTTTTCTATTTTAATTTTGAACCCGACATCCATTAAGATTATTTTTCATTCTATTGCTATTATCATATCATCAAAATTTTGTATGACTGAAATTTGACTCATAATTAGTTTTTTAAACTGATTATTTACGGCCTATATCAGCACTGAAACTGGATCGGTTGTAAAAAGATCAATCAGCCTGTAGAGATGGGGATTTTACGGGTTGAAAAGTTTTCAAAGTCTTTTTTGTCGATCCTGCTTCTAGCTATAAAAAACCAAGATAGTGCAAAAATTTCTGGTACAGTTGGTAAAAAAGAGGACAAAACGCAGGTTATTTAATTATTTGTTGCGAGGGTTACTTTAAAAAGATGGATTTGGTTGGACGTCTCATACATGCTCTCCGAAACTATACCCTCAAACAAAAGTCTTTCCTCTCTCTTTATTTCTGTGCTGTCATACTTTGCATGAAATTTATTGCCGAGTAGAGATATGACTTGAGATTTTATTTCAGTATGGTGTGCAGATCGCAATACAATAGAACTCTTAAGTCATATCTCTACTTGGTAATAAATTTTATACAAAATCAAAACTGTCAAGTTATATCTCTACTTGGTAATAAATCTTGTACAAGATTAAAACTCTCAAGTCATATCTCTACTTGGTAATAAATTTTATACAAAGTATGATCGCACAGAAATAAAGAGGAAGGAAAGGCTTGCCTACGACTGTATCTCATGTTTGGGTCCAATTTTCTATAAAAATTATTTTTCAAAAGAGTCCGAGATTTTTTCTATTGTTTTATCTCTTTAACCAGAATTTTTTCGGCATAACATGTGATTTCAATCGATTAGCTGACTGATTAGACTGGTTTATCATTTCGCAACCGACTCTCGGTACTGATCCGTATCATGTCGGAAAAAGTGAGTATTCTTAGAAACAAAAGCTGAATGCGATTAAAATACTCGAAAGAAATCGAAATCTTCGAAGTATTTCATTTTACAAAATATATAGAAGCATTATATAAATACACACTATGAAATCGAGCTTTGTAAATCAAAACTTGTATTTTTTTAAAAATAAAATCCTATTATGCGGCCGGAATTTTCGTGATTAAGTCTGATCTTCTGGAATTTGAAAAATTGAATATGATGCTGGTTTCGCACGATTTGCATTGCTATTACGTATATCTAGCTGTGATAATCCTCTTTTTTCTCACATTTTACGCATTGAACGGCATTTGAATTGAAGTAACCTCCTTCCCCCCCCCTCCCCACCATATCAGAAATCCACAATGGATTTTTAATATGTCCATCACCTGAAGCTTCTAGAGGGCGGCTTCTATTAAGACCAAGAAAAATTTCAGAGACTGTGATACAAAACTATTCGAAAGATTTTTATAATTTTTTCAGAAGGTTTTTACGGGTATTTTTAGATTTCAGGACAGCTAGACTAAAATCAGTAAAGTTTTTACCTAAAATTCGAAAATCTCTAGCAGTTTTAGCATGTAAATTCAGAAAATTTTTTAAAAATGTAAAAATATTTTTGGAAAAACCAGAGAACTACTAATACGTCAAACACATTGCTCATCTCAGAGGGGTCTTCTAATATGGTAGAGGCTTCTATGGGAAGGGATCTAAGAAAAGAATTAAAAATCAAGAAAAATTTGAAGAAAATCTTAAAAAATCAGCTCTTGAACTCAGAAGAAATATTATCGGGAGAAAAGTGTAAAAATTAGGAGTCTCCTGATGAAATCAGGAGGTTTGGCAGCGCTGACCCACACACCCTATCAATACAGTACATATGGAATTGTTCATCAGAGAAATTGAAATTTTTTAGAAATAGCCTATATGATAATCATTGAACAAATCTACACAGTTTATAAATAAAAACCACATCAACGAAAATTATTGCGCTACCATCCCATCAATTGGGTGGTTCATTGTCATTTCTGGTACGCTGCCGTTTCAAGTTTAATCTCTCGTCCATCTTATTGGACAACTGCATGGCTTCATCATACTTACGTTTGTAGTCATGTTTTGCGTCTTCATTCGCTGAGCTTTTAGTAATCGACTCAGAAGCGGTTTTATGATATTCTGCAGCTTCTTTAAGATTACCACAAATATGAGCCAATTCTCCTAGATACCTGTTTACTTTAGCCATATCCTCGGGTGATCCTTTTTCGATCAAGGCATGTTCCCAGGCTTCCTTTGCTTCTCTTCGATTACCAGTACGAAAATGGGCCACACCAATATTGAAATAAATATCAAAGCGATGTTTTGAGATACTTGTATTAGCTATTAAGGTTGTTAAACAGGATGCTTTTTCAGACGTCACAGCAGGTAAAGAAAAGTATGGAATCGCCGTATTTAATTTATCTATTGCACCGTGATAATCTCGTTCCTTTGCACGTAGTATGCCGATATAGAAATGTAGAAAACCTTTATTCTCGTCTGTAAGATTTGGTTCATTTTTTAGCATGTAACGATAGAAATTTTCGGCTTTAGTATTTTCACCTAACTGCTGTAATAAGTTACCGATCGACAGAAAGCTATACCCATCACTTAAACTAGTTAGATACTGCTCTAAATCATTATCAAGGTCAGAACAGTTAGTCAACTTGATATTCCATATATGATCTCGTCTCGAAACATCTTCGATGCGCCAGACTGCACCAACGGAAAAAAGAACCTCCTCTTCTTCATTCATTTCGTTATAATTTAGAGAAATATCAGCGAACGGCTTTCCAGTGTAATTGTTAGGCTTTTTTATATGAAGTTCAAATACGACGCTTTCATGGTTGTCGCGTATTACATCATCTCCAGAAAATGCTTTAGCTGCCTTCTTATTTTTTGTAGTGGAAAGAAAACCATTCATTGAAATTAAACCATGAACATTGTCTTTTAACTGCTGTAAAATTGTGTTAGGTAGTTTTTGACCGCGATAAACAACAAAATCTTCCTCTATTTTCTGTTTTTCATCAGTTTTTCTAGCCAACTCTTTGTGTAGATCAGTGATAAACAATCGATAAACGAAAATGTGCTCAATGTCTTCACTACGAAATGCCCTGTTTACCATCCGAAAACAAAAACTGTCATCAGTATAATAAGCAATAACATTTCTTGCAGTGTAATTATCCTGAAACTCTTTTATTTTAGATAATTCGACGATGTTGTCTGCATAGTATTCGCGACAAGCCGATAACATATCGTCTTTAGAGATATTCTCATCATGGTGCATGCGAAGCATGATTTCGACAAGACTTTGAAATTGAATAAATCTTAGTGATTCATTAGATAATTGCCGAATAGAGTTTTGTTTCAATGACGAATTCAGAACACCAAGAGGTGGAATTAATCTACTTTTTTTATATTCATCAATCGTTTGTGAAACAACGGCATCTAATTCAGTTGATGATGGGCGTTGTGGATAAGATTCAATATCTGATCCAATTTTGATGAACAATTCATCAATACTTTCATACATCGGATGTTCAAAGGACTGGTTTGTTGGCTGGAAAAGAAGAACGTATTGCTCTCTCAATTTGTTTTCTTTTTTCTTGGCTTGTTGTTCAACAAGATGGCACATACTTGGTCCATGTAAAATTGAAGATATAATAACAATGACATCAGCAACTAGATTTGTTTTTAGTATGTACGATGTAAATGGGAGAATATCATCGAATACTCGAATATAGTCAAATGTTTCTTTCAAACGTGTTATCATAGCATCGTGCATCTCGACAGATAGAGAGTTTTTATCATGAAGCCAGATGCCGATAAAATTTTCATTGCGTCGTTTTCGTTGCGCTTGATCGGATGAATTTCTAAGATGCATATAGTTTCTCAAATGTTGAATACAAAAAGAATTGGAATAAATAGTTTACCTAACAGTCGGTACCTGAGTATTTGTAGTAGTCTTATACATCTAAAACAGATAAGACACTGATAAAAAAGGAAATTTATTACATTGATTTTAATCACAAAAATTAGAAGAAACACACGGTTCTAACATATTTTTCAAAATACTGTATTTATATTCGAATTGCCGACGACATTGCTGATCAGTAGTTGTTGTGAAAGCTTTTTCATACCAATCAAGAGCTTTTTTATGTTCTCCTATCTGGTGATGCAAATCAGCAATAGTTCCAAAGATTAAGCTTTGATTGATAGAGGTTCGATATGATTCTTGAATTTTAGCAAAGTATTGCTCATGGGGTGCAACTTCTTCGAGAATGAATTGAGGACATTGCACAACTTTGTTCATATGATGAAGTGCTTTTGAAACTTCTTTGATTTCAGCATACAATAAGCCAAAATGATGATGGATAAAGAATATATCAGGATGATCCTCCGCAAGAGTGCGCAACCAAAAACTGTAATATTCTTTTGCTTCATCTACAAGTTTAAGACAGCGTAGATAATGACCAAATGTGAGCCAATTTAACGGTTCTTTTACTTCGTATTGCAATTGTTGTATAACTATTTCCAAATCTGGTTCACTTGTGTAATTCATTTTAACATACCATACTCCATCTGGTCCTTGATCAACAGAACAAATACGGAATGTGCTTGCTACAGGAAATAAAAGACAGTTGTCCTCATGAAAATCAAATAAGTTTGTTCTCTGCGTAATTTGAATTTCAAATAAAACCGAAGTCAAACCGATGTCAGTGTTACGTCTTGATATAGTCCGAGCTGACATCAAGCTTTTCGTTGCTAACATGTAGGAACTGTTACTAAATATTTGATTGCAATTATTTTTTAAAATATGAAGACTTTTATCCGAAACGATATCTGCATGATAGATGATTTGCGGATATATCAACTGTCTTTTGTGTGATATCGAAATATAGTGGTGAAACTTTAATAAATCTGGCAGCAAAGCTGTAATACAGCATGTTTCTACAAGGCGCATATCATATGTGCGATCTCTGAATGAACTGCCAATGTTGCAAGTTGAGTCATTTACGATGTTGGGCATTTGTGAGAAAATCTTGGATAATAAATAAATGCCGAGGAACTTATTTTGTTGATCATCGAGTTGTGGTAAAATCAATTGACTCATATCGATAGATTTAAAAATAACAAAAGAAAAAGATCGTAGTTTCGCTTGTCGATACAAACAGATGTCCTCGGCTAAACTTTTGAGCAGCCAATCAACTTTAGTGAAGATACCATGCATAATCGAATGTTGAGACAAACAAACAGATGTTTTAGGTGATTCGGACCATATGTACAGAACTTGAAGTTTGCCGGATTGACAGAAATGTTGAAAGTCAACAGATGAAATACACGTATAAGATGATATAAGGAAAACAGTCCTAGTTTCTTCTGAAATGAAGTTTAGACAAAGCGCCATGTCGTCAAAGTTCTTTACTGAGACGCGTGCCTCATTCGGATGGGACAGTACTAAATCCATGCATCGCAATAATACGATAACGATTGGTTCCGAAACTTTTTCGAATTTCTGCTTTTTCCAAAGTTGTAGAAGTGGCTGTTGGCTCGGATTCTGCGAGCATATTTGAGACAATATATAATCCCAGGATATCGACTGTAATACAGATCGCTTAGTGCTTGACCTAATGTCCGTATGCAGTTGAGTTTCCAAATCTTGTATAACACTCCAACTTCCTCTAATTTTAGGATAGGAGTTCAACCATTCTGGTTTCAATTCATTATCGGACATATAGACATAAATACATTCGACACATCGGTGATTATGAATGAGTGGAATTATATATGTTCCGGAGAATGCACCAACCACGAAATAAATGAATTTGTCATTTATAGACAAGATTTCTGAGACACATAAGCAGTCATCATCAAATAGCTTAATGTTTGGACTTGGTTGGATTGATAATAATGCGGCCAAGCTTGTGCCATGATATGCAATGATAAACGAATTGCTATCAACTGGATTTTCTATCCATGTTCTGTCATTCACAGTGTCTATACAAAGAGAGGTACTATCAGATAAAACTTTAACCAATGTGAATACGCATACCTTGTCTGGAATCCATTTTTCGATAATTAACAAATGATTCTAATTTGAATCCTCGTAAATCTTCACAGCAAGGTGGAGTGTCATATATAGTATATTGATCGCTGATCACACCAGTCTATAACAAAAGCAAGCGTTACGTAATTGTATAGAATGTGAGGAAAGCTTTGAAATATTTTATCCGGAATTTCACCGTACCTTATATGGGTAGATGTGGGCTGTGAGTGATGGTATTTTCTCCTGACTCACAATATACTCATGCCACACACTTTCCTGCACTTATCCTAACATTGCCTAGTCTTGTCAAATATCTTGCGCCTTCATCCTTCTCTTGGTTGGTGTAACTAGACAGTTGTCCCCTTCATCATCGTCTCGCCTGTTATACTCAAACACTGCTCGCCCTCAGGCTCATCCTCCAAGGTGTACAATCTCAAATTACATAAACATCTAGAATTTTCTAAGATTATTTAAATTCCTAGTATTCCATAATCGTTTCAAGGTACATAGGTGTCCAGAACTCCTTTAATTTCTTTAATTTCTCAGAATTACGAATTTCTGAATCTTGAGTAACGGTGCCCATTTACAGTTTGCTTCTAAAACGATAAATTTTATCACAGCCAGTAAATATAATCAGCGAGTTGAAAAAGTTTATCATTTTCCTTAAGTGAAATGCATGAATGACGTCTTTCTTACCGTTTGTTTTAGTATTGTCTCAAACCGTTTAACAGAATCAATGTTCAGTCTTGAACAAATTTGCGTTTCACTTTCTGAGGTATCTAAGTTACTGGAATTATCCTCCATTACTTGCAAAGTAGAATTATTGCATTGAACAGCCATAGTGTGAGAAGACTTGATCTTTTCAAAAAAAGATGGTGCAATATGTTTCTTATCATCGGAGTAGCGTCTTTTTCTACAGTTCTTGCTTGATTGGTTCACTGATGATGAGCTCTTTAGTCTAAAGAACGACGGACGTGACTTTGCCCTTTTTGAGATAGGCACAATACGTTTCACTGATTTTTGTTGAATTTGATCTTGCGTGTCTAGAGAATCAGTATAAGCGCAAATGTCACAGTTATTTGAAGTTGTTATCACATCGAAAGGAGAACTTGGTACTTTGCATCTACGGTTAGGTCGACCGAAGTTTTGATTTAGAAGTTCATCAACAGAATTATTTCCAAATAATGTTTCGAACGGTGTTATTAAAGTAGAAGTACGAGATAATGATGCACTGAGACGCCGTTGCTACAATAAAGAAACAGCGTATTACACGAATGACAGATCAGATTACCGGTAACAAAATCCTCAAATATCCGGCCATATTTCGTAGACTTACTCAGTTACTATTACTTAGCTTTTTTCCCTCAGCAATACTTTTCTGAGTTCAATCTAACTTTTACTTACATTATTTGACGTATCGTTTGTCGATAATTGCGAAGATAACTTTTTCAAATTATTAGCCATATGTGATCTAAAAAGATGATGGACTTCTTTGTTATAAGAATTATAGCGTAATATTCAAATATAAAACTTGGTTTAATACACATTTCAAAGTAGATACGCGGATTCGAAGCAAAAAGTTATAAATACTGTGTACCTCTTTATCTATGCGAGTTATAGTTTAGTCAATGAATCCTTCTCAAATAATCACAGAAGCCATTAAATAGTTATAAAAGGCCAAGAACTTTCCTATTTTCACTTATTTCTAGATTTTGTCTGCATTCAATTAGGATTTGGCAGAGCTCTCACCGTCGAAAATAATGACTACGACCATGCTTTTTCTAACGAAATCTCAATAATACTTTTCTACTATGCAAATATGACGACATTTATTTCGTAATAAGGGATCATACGACGGAAGCGCATCATTGACGACAATATCGGTAATACTGATGACTATACTTTGTCATCATCACATGTCTATGTGCGCTCTACGATACGTCATTCCGCGAAGAATATAGAAAGAGTGTTTCTCTTAAAAATGTGAGTATTACAAAGATAAAAAAAAACAGCAATAAAGATTAAGATAAGTAAAAAACGCGTGCAATGCCTATTTTTATAGAGGCGCAATTAAACGAAGTTTTTATTATACTGATGTTATAAAAGTGGATAGAAATGAAAAGTTTGGTTGGAACGAATTCTTGCTTATCTTTTCGACAAAATAAGAGTATTATTCACCTTAAAACGATTTCTTGTTTGCTAGTAATAGTTGCGAGCAAAAATTCATACACACGCCCAACATAACGTTTCATCATAGAAAGAAAATTGAAAAATATGCATTCTCTCTTTCTGTTTTACAATAATAAATAATGGGTGTACATGTAGATGTGAGTGAATTATGAGATGATAGATCCCAGATCTTTCTATCTTTGTCCTTTCTCTACCTAGTCTAATCTCACCTTTCACTCATTCATCAATATTACTACATGTAACTTCTGTTTATAGAATTATAGTTTATTCGTAATTAAGTTATAAAACAAAAATGAATGTTTCTTATTCATGATGATTTACTAGAAATTCTATGTAAAAGTGTAAACTATTGGTCTCTATTTGATTGAATAATGAAAGAGTCCATTGTAATTTGAAGTATTTTTTTTATCAGGAAATTTGACCCACATAATTATTTCTCGCTGTGGAATTGTAATTTGTCTCTTGAAGATGCCATCTTTTAAAATTTCTTCTGAAAGCCACTCTCCATCGAGCTGAAGCCGAGCACAATAAGCATTTGGTATGCGACAGTGAATGGTCGTTTTCGAACCAGGTTTGAGTGCACCGTCAAGAGGTTCAAAAATTTGACATTTACACTGTGTATATAATCCGTAAGTTAATGGAAAAGGCTTTATTTTGACAACATCACTTGGTACATGTAAACTGAATTCAATTGCACAAGAATATTTGTTCTCAGTATTTTTACTTTTTATTGTTTCTATCTCTCGACGAGTAAATATTGTCAATGTATGAGAACCACTACGTTTTGGTGCAAAGAGACATTGCCATAGTTGGCGATCAGTATCATATTGAATAAGACTACTAGTCTCAATTTTTCCGGATCCTGATTCTTTGATGTCGCCCATCAAAGTCACATCAGATGGAGCTCGCACAAGCACTTCAGAAAGTCCATGATTCAAGTTAAAAAACGCCGTGTTAGAGTGACGTGGAGAAACGATATCCAGATTATGCTCAAAAAATGCTGGATGAACATAAGGCATGTGAATAAAGTCATCCATCGATATAGAGGATATTAATAGTTGCCATTGGGAATCTTCAGGTAAATGTCTATAGATCATCTGCTCAGGAGGAACTAGAAAGTAGAATGAATTTAATTCCTTTTGATTTTGATTATTACTATCCAAGTGTCCTGCGCCCCATGTCGAATCGACGAGATACCAATGTCCTTCTAAACGTAGAACATTCCAAGCATGATTCGTTCGGGTAAATGATTTTTGTCCCATTTTAAAACTATATCCTTTAGCGTAACCACTAATCTTCTTGCATTCAATCTGAACTGCTGTGCAGAGAGTTTCGAAAATAGTTCCAAATGCATCACAAACTCCTTTGCGACTTGCAAAGATATCAGCCGCTGTTTGATGGTGAATATTTCCACTAAAGTAAGCTTCTACGTCATATTCGATATTTTGTGAAACCCAATAAAAAACAATCCAAGCACGATCGATCAAATTCTTGCCTGATGATAATTCATTGATGAGTTTGGCAACATCATGAAGACCCTTTGCTTTCCAACTGTCGACAGCTTGTCGATATGACATATTATCGATGGCTGCCTGACGTTTACGACAGAAAGATGCTTCGAAAGCTGTCGGATCAGATGGTATAAGATTAAGAGAGTTATCCGGTATTTTTGGTTCTGTTGAAGGTAACTTAATTGCAGTCGTTATTTTTGGTTTTTCATCTACTTCTGATTCCCAATCATCAGAATAGTCTGAGTCCCAATCATCTGAATAATTGACAATATCATTATCTTTCTTCACAGGAGTATGAAGTTTGCGACTATGTTCAGTTGAAGTATTGGTAGGTTTGGAACATAGTTTTTTACTATTTCCGTTGTTATATATCTATAAGTAGTAATTTATTTGTCATAGATAAAATATGAAACTTCGCAATACTATTAGTACCTTGTTATTTGGTATAAATTTTTGAAAAGGTGTCGCATCAATTGAGATCTGTGAGTTTGCTGTCTTTAAACGATGATAATTATTGATCGGATCCAGATTAAACGGCTGAAGCTGCTGTTGTTTTGTATTATTGCACTCTGTTGAATCACATTGATATGTGCCATGTAATACATTTTTAGAGCGATTGATGTCCACCATTGGAATAGACGTGTGACGAGGCTGTTTTCGCGATTTTGCTATATTAGTTCGTCGACAGCCTGATGAGTCATCACTAGCAGAATTTGTAGAACCATAACCTGATTCAAGTTGTTCGTTTTTCGTGGCTGACGGTGGTATCACCAAAGTACTATAATTTTCAGTGCGAGCCTTCAAATTCGGATCTCCGACCATTTTTTTTATTTTTTTACGAAAGCAGAAGAGAATGGCAATTTTTTTTATTCTTATATTTAATCAATATGGAAAAAACCAAGCAACACTGTTTACACAATACTCTTTTTTACAGTAGGTAGTAGGTAATCACGCCATACTGCAGAGAATATCAATAAAAATTATGCACTGTAAGAGTTCAACCCTGATAGAAAGCAACAGAAATGATTTCTTTCAAGCAATGGCGTAGTCAATTCTCGATCCTTCAGAACGGATGAGAATCAACCATGATTAATTATATAAACAAGATTAAAATTGCTATTGTTAACTTTTTCTTTCCTTTCTTTTCTAGAATTTTTTTCTCACTCGTGTTCTGTACACAGATGAGAGTTGTTAACATCGTGACTGTGATAAGAAGCAAGGAGAAGTGAAAAAAATACTTCAAAAACAGTGAGTCAGGCTTTAGGTGGATCATGAGATGATTGACATCCGCACTCGATATATCTAAAGATACTTTTTTTTTAACAAATCAAAAATAAAAAAATGTTACATAAGTTTTTTTAAAAAGTGACTAATATATCGGAAGGAGCACGTAGATCTATTTTGCTTGTGAAGATTACAACAAAAGACAAAAGCAATTCGATCATTTGTTGAGTGAAATCATAGAATGTCCTATAAAAACAATTTTAATCGAAGAATAAATTTGTTTATTTCTTTATTTCTTACCTGAGGTATACCAAAAATACTACGAATATTATTAGTGGTATATAACAAAACGTTTTGTTCACCAATGCATTCTATAAAAGAAAATTTTTATACATAAAAGATAATCTGATACATACTTTTAATTCATTTCTTGAGGGTATGGGTGTGGATGAGGGGTGTGGGTGGGTGTAGTATAAGATTAGTCTATACCCACACCCCCCACCTACACTCACCCACACCCACACCCTTCTTGCTAAGAAAAAGAAAAAAGAGTTTATATTAGATTAGAGTTTTTCTGTTGATCATAGTTTATTCGATTTATTCTTAAAAAATGTATCAAGTGCTGTATATTGAAGATAGCAAGAAAAGAAAATACAGCTACTTTTTTTAGAATAAATATGAAATATGTAAGGATGATAACGAGGAAACAACAAACAATTATTATTTTTTTTCTTTTACTTATTTATATACAAAACAGTTATCAGGCAACATGTATTATTAGACGGAAACAATTTCATCGCTTTTTCTATAATTAAAAGAATTCATATTTTTTAAATTCATCACAATTAATTTATCTTTTTCAACTGAATACAAGCAGTTTCTTAGATAGAATTACGCTTTTAAAATGCTAATTTAAAGAACAAAGGTTTTATAAAAGTTAAAAAACAAAAGTTAAAAAGATAAACCAAGTAAATTTAATAAACGAACACTATAATCACGAGCATTTCGTAACAAATGAATATTAACTTCATCTCCTTCAATAAGATATTGAAAACTTCTGGTATTAAAAGAATCGCTCGTATTATATATATCAATAAGAAAAAATACGGCATCAATACCAGCACTGGAGAAACTATCTGGTTTTTCATCTAACAAATTAAATGTAACTATTTTGACATTGTTTACTTTTAACTCTTCTGAAACGATAAAACAAATTTTATCGAAAAAAGAAAATTTCAGATTTCATACTGTTAGCATGATTTAATTGAATAGATTTTAGTATGGTAATCTAAAAATAAATCTTTATCTTTAAAAAGAATGATCTATTTTACCTTTCTACTTTTCGGCAATCCGATGACTAATCCAGATCGATCATTCAGACCATCTGAAACATCACCTTGTAAGACATGAAATGGCTATAAAACGGCGTAATTCTTGAGGGGTATGGGTGTGGTTGTCGGTGTGAGTGAGAGAAAAGAGTGGAGCAAAATCTACACTCACACCCGAGCTTTATAAGATAATTATACCACAACACATTATTTCCTTTGATTGCCACAAAAAAACTCCTAAAAAGAAATAAATAAATTGATTGAACATATTATTTTAATAATTACTTTCTTATTTGTGATTGAATTATGAATGCGAAGACGTGTTTGAGATATCGAAGACATTTTGTATTAATTGACAAAAAATTGTTTGCGATGAGTCTAAAATACAAAATAAAGAAATCAATAATCATGTAGTTATACGTTTATTTGTTTGGTCATTTCTTTATATTAACTAAATCATATTTCATCATCTGAATGCGCACACTATTGAGGCTACCTTCGATAACAAAAAAGAAATGGCGTATACTATTATCCCTATCTATATTCAATATTATTTGTTGTTTCAATAGTTAAACCAGTCGAATAAGTGTTTATATGTATCAAAATGAAATTAACGAAATCATGAAATAGACAATTTTAACGTAAGGAAACGGGAGAATGGCAATAATAGAACGGCGATGAATATTTTTCACTAAAGAACGAAAAGAAAGATATATCAGGTTCGACCAACTTCAATAATTCTATCTGACTAAATAGCATCTTGATGGATGTGGGTGTGGTGTAAGTGTGAGTGTAGGTATTATATATTGCTATTGTACCCACACCCACTCAATCGAAATTTACCTTTCGTTAAGTTATCATCATTATTTTATATTACATTATGGATTGTTGTAAGATTTGGCATTGATCTTGGCAAATTTAATCGAACAAACTCATAAGCTGTCTTTCCTCCAAGTATATCCAAGCATACGGTAAACGTTTTAATTTATTATCATGTTTATATCGACTCGTATTAGCTAAAGATAAATTTTTCTTTATAGCATTTATGAATAGTGATACAATTCATGTTGATCATTTGTTATGTTTTCATTTTCATAGATATTGAGAATTGAAAATAGAATTGGATATTTTTGAAGTAATGCATCAATTTTTTTAGATGTACGCGACGATGATTTTGTAAATTTCTGATCTGATTTAAATTTTAAGGGTGGGCGGGTGTGGGTATGGATGTAGGTGGGCCATGAGATGATAGACAACCACGCTCACACCCATATCCAAAATATTTAACGCAACTTTCTGTTTTAAAATAAATAAAAAATACAAAAAGTTTCATAAGTCTTTGAAAAAGCGACTAATATATCGGAATACGCACGCAAATGTATTTTTGCTTGTGAAGATTACAACAAACGACAAAAGCAATTCGATCATTTGTTGGTTGAAACCATATAATGTCCTACAAAACATGTTTAATAAAAGAATAAGTTTGTTTATTTCTTTAGTTCTTACCTGAGGTATACCAAAAATACCACAAATATCATTATTGGTAAATGAGAAAAAGTTTTGTTAACCAACACATTCTATAGAAAAAAGTTTATTTTACATCAAAGATAATTCAGTACATACTCTTAATTTATTTCTGGTATTGAATGAATCGCTTGTATTGTATGCATCAATCAGAAAAAATACGGCATCAATACCAGCACCGGAGAAATTATTCAGTTTTTCATTTAATAAATTGAATGTAATTAATTTACTATTATATACATTCAGCTCTTCTGAAACGATTAAAAAATGTTTATCGAAAAAAGAAAACTTCAAGTTTCATACTATTCAAATTATTTATTATTAAATGACCACCATTATTTTCTTTGATTGTTTTTAAAATGGTGGTCTAAAAATAAAATACATGTTTATCTTTAAAAAGATGATCTATTTTACTTTTCCACATTTTGCTAATCCAACGATTAGTATAGCGCCAGTTTTATTATTTAATTCTATTTTAAAAATTAGTTAAATATTAAAGAGTTTGAAAAAATTTAACTAACTTAATTGATTTTCGAGTTCTCTGTCTCGATTTCTGAGCGTTAGTTCAGCAAAAAAAGCAACCAAACCTCGCTGAAAGAGACGCTCTTTTTTTTGTTCTGCTGTTTCATTGTTGTTTTCATTTTCTAATTCTTTTTCAAGTTCTTCAACACGTTCAATCTATGTATAAAAAAAAAGTCAAAAGCTTTAATAATAAAAGTAATTTTATTTACGTTTCCTGCAGAATCTTTTAAACTATTGAGAAATTGATTTTTATCCATTTAAAATTTATTATCTATGAAATAATAAATTTTCTAATCAAATAAACTAAACAATATATGAGTGATATATATTCATAAAATGATAATTATCATTTTAATCTATTATATTAAATAAAACAGTTTGATATTCTTCTGTTGAATATGTATTTACAAGGCATTTTATCGATATAAATACATCTTTATTTATTCTATATCCTATATAGACTGGACGGAACATTAAGTCAAGGTGGACTATATATGGTCAAAGGAAAATGATTTATTTTTCGTTTTTAGTCATTCTTTTCCTTTGATAGATGTTACTAATAAATTAACACATCTAAATTTATCTGCCTGAAAAATTCTTTCTTTATTACAGTATTTTTTATTCAATAATAATTTATTATAAAATAAGAAATGCAATAGGAAAATAATGTAATAATAAATAATGTTTTGTAATAACATTTTCATAATAAATAAATAAATATCGTTCGAATGATGTCCATGCCATTAATGCAATACTCAAGTAAAACAATGAATAATTTAAACTAATCCAAATTGGACATATAGTTTCAGTATGAACATCTCCTCTATATAGGAAAAAAAGAGTAATAGGTAATTCAATTGTAATAATTAAACTATTCTCAATAATAAGAATTCCATATATTTGAAATGATATAATCTACAAATTTTTCAAGAGGAAATTATTTATTTGTTTTTTTTGTATGAAATAGAGCTTACATAAAAAATATGCAGGCAAGAGAAGGAACTTGTAAAGTAAGTAGTATATAAAATTTGATCGTATGCTCTAATATTGGTATAGTATTGATTATTCGCATTTAAAACTAAAATACAATGAACTAGATGGCACACGAGTCGAGACTCGTCTACAAAATGCGATGCGAAGCTCGATTTTAAGGCTTTTACAAAATTATCTAGATGATTCATTATCTATTATCAACTGCACTTTCAGCTGTAGAACAATGGCACGTAACTTTTGCTTTTCTTTTTAAGTTTCTCGAAATTTAAAAAAGATAAAATTGTGTTTTTGCGACACTTCCTATAAATAAACAAAAAGCTCCTGTTCAAAATCGGAAAAAATGTAATGTCAGTTCGATCTTGATATATATATTGAGCTCGCGTTTAAAAGAGAATTTTTCGATGTTCCATTGCTGAGATGATTGTAATATAAAATGAATTTTTTTTTATACAGATCATCGAAAACAATACGAATCTTCGTATATGTAACTGTACAACGCCTTTTTTCCGTTATTATCCACCTGCCTAAGTCTAGGTATACACCCTTTATCGTCGATAAACACACGTCAAAAGAAATTACATTTATCTGTCATTTATCATCAAAACAGGGCTAATCATCGATGTCAACAAAACAGTAGACGCAATTATTTTTCGGTGCGTTCTAATATAATACATCGTAATATTATTTCATGCTTTGGTAGATAAAAATAATAAAAGTTAATTTACGTATAACATCAGTAATTACAAGGTATTATTTTCTTTTGAATAAAAATTTTGTATCAACGAAAGAGCGACAGTACTCAAACAATTTTATATATATTTTAAAAGAAGTATGAAAATACTAAATATTCGAAACTTTTTGCCAACAGATTATTTAGATAAAAAAAAAATAACGAATAATATTTTAAAGTTGTTCATTTAATGCGTAAAATTAGTCTTTTAGTTTCATGAAAGAATATTGGTGCTTTCATTTGGAAAGCACTTGTGTCGAATATCTAATTTCAATTAATACAATAATTTGCTAACTAATAAGAGCAATATAAAGCATTTATTTATGAAAAAAAAATATAAAATACTTTTTTGTTAGTCCGCGTAATTAGTAATTTGAAAAAACAATAATTAATATAAAAATGTCTTTTGGATTATGTTGAATGATATTTACCATATTTATTAACGAAATGTTCAAACGTAAAAAAATGTCCTTTGAATAACGTTAACCGGTAAGTTTAGCAGTAGCTGCAGCAATCGGTGTTGTTGTAGTTTCTAAAATATTAAAAATTATGTGATATACACATTAAATGTTTAACTTACCGTGAGTTAAGTCAAACGGATAAGCAGAAGATGTAAAAAAGAACACAATACCACCTTCAAAAATCTCGATATCGATGAAGGTGATTAATGTAGTTTCGAAAAGTAGATCGAATTCAGAAGTACCACATTCGGGAGCAAGTAAGTCATCAAAATGGAAAATAATAACGAGGAATAATATGACTTGACGACGTTCACGCATATTACCACTTTAATAAAGTAAATTAAATTATACATTTGATATTTTATTATTTGGTTGAATACTTACAATCCACGTCGTCTACGTCTCTTGCTTCCTGTACTTTTACTTGTAACCGTTGCACTATCAACAACAACTGCATTAGGCTGTAAATTCATCTTCTTTGATATCTATAACAGTATATGAATTTATAGTAAAATTTCTGATTTTAATATATTCAGATATATATTTACGACGGCTTCAAGGTTAGGATATGACTTTTTATCTAGGGGGCCAACAGGTATGCTGGTGTTAAGAGGCAGATGTAGTTCAAAACTATCAGAATCATCTAAACACAAAATATGGTAGAGAAAAATATAAGATAATATCTTTACCGTAATCAACTGGTCCAAAACTGTGATCTAAAGCAATAAATTTTTATATCTGTGATATACTTTTATGCTCCACTCACCTATTAAGTCTATACTAGCATCAAATGTATCGGTGTACGGTACACCGTTGATGTTAATTTCATCTGTAACTGTGAAAGTTTTAATGCTCTCAAGGAATCCCAGGTCATCACATTTGTCACATTTTAATACATTAAAAACAAGTGTACAAAAGAGTGTTGTACCATCAACACCACGTTTATTACGTAAAGCTCGGCTATAAAAAATGACATTAAATTATACATTCAACATTTTATTATTCAGTTGAGTACTTACGATTGTCTTCGTTTACGTTTACGTTTAGTAGGATCTTCAACTGCACCTTGCTTAACTTGAGTTGAACCAGATGGTAAATTCAACGCTTTGTCCACCTACAATAGTACATGCATTTATGATAAGATCTTGAATATTGTTATATTCAAATGTATATTTACTGAAGCGCCAACGTCGGCCAGTGATGGAGAATCCAAATTGCCTTCAGGTAATGCCACTGTTCGAGAATTCATAGTCATAAGATAAGTTGGAGTAGTTGTCCCTTAATACACAAAATGTAATAAAAAAAATAAAAAAATTTAGAATAAATAATATCATTACTTGGTGTGCCACCACTTCTTTTTGATAGATACACAGGTATCAATGCAAGAACAATCGTTGCAGCAATCATAAAAAGAATAAATCCAAGGCAACATATAGCCAAAATTGGACTGCCGGCAGCTAAGCCAAATCTATTTAATAAAATAAGAATTTGAGATAAACAATACGAAAGATTCAAATTTTATTTATTTACCCACGATTACGACGAGCAGGAACGGATGGCGGAGGAGCATACATCTTTGTAACTGTCGAATAGTAATACTAAAATCAAGTAAAACTAAAGGCACAATAATAGGTCAAAAGTCATACCTTTATATAGAATAGGGTCACTACATTTTTCTTTTGTTTTGGTTTAGCCTAGGCGCAAATATTTATCGTATTTTTTTATTCGGAAGTCTTGAATAAATTAACCATGTTTATTAAATCTTTTTTTTCTCTATCTTCTTTAACATATAACGTTTGTTTTCATCGCCGATTCGCATGACTGCTCGTATTTTATCTAAGTAGATGTCTATGGGCGTATAATATATCAAAATATTAAGAGAATAAAATAAATCAATGCGAACTAATCGTACAAGTAAGAAAAGAAAATAAACATCGATATATGACAAGATGACAGCTATGTCTGGGTAATGTTTATGCATACAGCAGTCAAAGTTTAGATATACTGTGTAAAGAAATAAACAACATTTTAAACTAATATATGTAAACTTTAAAAATTGCTTGTATGATAAAAATTATTTCTGAAATATATATAAATCTTTTTTAAATATTCGCTTTTAAATAAATGTAAAATTTACTGTTGATTAAGAATGTCATACTTATTGTTACTAAAAGAATGAACACACAATAACGAAGAGAACTAATTCATTCATGTCTTCATTTATAATCAAAAGTTGAATAGACTTATAAAGAAACGATTTTTTTTGTATTGCAAATGTTTATTTTTTATCAAGAAATCTTTTATCTCGATCTGTACGCATACGGAGAAGTTTAAAAGATTTACATATTGATACTTCATAGAAAAATTTCATTTTCTCTCTTATGACAAATAATAAAAAGATCAAAACTGAAATGATAGTCAATCAGTAACAGATGATTATCGCTTTTAACCTTCTTAACTTTAGCTCGGATGATACTGAAGTTTTTTTTCGCAGATCATAATAAAATGATATATTTTTTATTTTCTTGTTCAAATTTCTAATATGTTCCTTTAACAAGCAAAATATGCAACATGACAAACTGTAGTCTACAAAAAATAAAGTTTTACATATTTCTTTAAATTGTCAAAAATGAATAACGATGATGAAAAAAAGAAAAAAAAAATTGTTGTACATCAATAAATAAATTTTCGCTAGACCACTATTTTCTCAATTGAAATTTGTCTGTTTAAACCGATAAAGATCCATTGAAAAAAAGATTTTTTTGTAGATTTTGCTTGTTAAAGGATTATATCAGAAATTTGAAAAAAGATAAAAAATAGGGTGTCATTTAAGTGGTCAGTAAATAGAAAAAATGAAAAGTCAGTAAATATACTGAATGGTCAGTAGAAAAATGAAATGATCAGTTATTAACAACATTGGATGGTAATTAAATGAAACGGTCAGTAGATAAGCTTTTTTTATCAGTTGGTAAAATGAAATGGAAAGTAGAAATTAACATTTCTCGTAGTGTTGTCCACTTGATTTTTTTCTCTTTCCTTTACATGTATATCTATATGGTATTCTCCTTCATATATATGATCATATGGGATTTTTCCTAGAATATGTTATACTATAAGAGATGAGAATAATCCAAATGACCATTTCTTGTCCTATGATTACTTGCGTTTTCTTCTTAAATAAACAAAATATTATTAAGCTTTTAAACTATCATCTTCTTCTACTTATCAACAACAAGACCAATAGTTTTTCTACTGACCAAAAATCTATTTTCTACTGACCAAATTTCTTTTTTCTACTGATATAAATCATATATTTTTACTGTTACTTACAGCAAATAAACTGACCACTTCATAAATATCTACTGCGATTTTCAATACTGATCAATCAGTATATTTACTGACCATTTCCATATTTTTTACTGACCACTTCAGTTATTTTACTGAACGTTTAATATATTCCCTAAAAAATACAGCTATTATACAAAAATATCATTTACTTTATTATCATCTAGTTTTTCATCACTTTTCGATATAATTTTATTCAATTATAAAAATATTTACTATTACTTTCGTAAATAGAGATGCAATTAATAATCAGTGTAACATCATCTTTCTATATAAGCCCAGCGGAGTTCAGATATGCTTCCTAACTTACCTTATTATTCTCTCTGAATAAATGTCCAGAAGTTCCAACGTTCTTTAGTATTGCTCACTTCTTAGAACATCGGTAGACTAATATAACTTTCAAAAGGTCGCTGTTTTTATTGTATTCTAAGTTGAAATCTAAGATTTTCAAGAACAATAATATCTTTGTATTGATTACCACAAAAAAACATGTTTTCATTTGAGTCATATAAAAGTTATGGATTTTTAAGATTTCATATCTCGACTATCATGTATTGAATACACAAATATTTGAGAAGTAGTGCAAATCCATTGACATCGCAATTTTATATAAAATATGTGTAGTTCTCTTCTAACTTATATATTCCTAAATATCTAGTAATTCAGGTAGACTACGTTATAGACATTTTCTAAACAAGTATATTTTATGTTCACTATGCATCTAGCTAGTACAAAACTAATTTCATGTTAACTCGATCTTTGAAAATAGAATAGAATAGCAAATAAATTATTCAATGGAAGATAGTAATGAATAGATATATTTTCTTTAATGTGATGTATGAAGATTTTTCGAAAACGTTTTACTATTTGATAATATTTCATATAATCAATTATATTGTGTAAAACTTGACAGTAATCTTTTACCTTTTGTATTAAGCTATTTTGAAAACATTTATTAAGTGCTTTTGATAATAGTATTTTGAATCTGATAGACAGGAAGTTTTTTCTTAATAATATAATTAAGAAAGTACTATTTCTGAAATATTTTAGATTGATATTAGTCAAAAGTCTTTATTTTACTAATATTATAATATGAAAATAAGAAGTTGTTTTTCCAAAGTTTACTAATGACAAGTAAAACATTTCTATTATGTAAATATATATTTAACTTGCTGCATACTATTTTACACAATTTGAAAGATCTTTAATATATCATCATTGAATTGCTTGTAAAGTTTTCGCCACAAAAACAAATATGTTACTCTCGAATTAATTCCTAGTAATGCTTTTAAGAATACAATCAAGTTTTTTTCTCCTTTATATTGATATTTATTTAAGACTAAAGATTAGAATTTAAACAGTCTGAACATCTAATTTGGTTGTTTACTAGCTAATGGTGGTCGAGCAGTCATCATTGATTGATTCTCGATAATTTGTATTCGATTTCCACGACGAAATATCTTCACAGCATATAATTCAACCAATGTAGAATAAAATTTGTGTCGAATATCTGGCATGAATAAAAGACAAATAATTGGTAGAAATAAAGTTTGCATATATGGAATAAAGACAAAAACTGTTGAGAGAAGAGAAGCTAATTGTTCCGTATTTTCAAATATTTGAATAAGTCCTATTGTTGTATATGGAACCCAACCGATTATATATAACATTGAAGTAGCTAATAATTGTACAGTCATTTTAGCTGAACGACGCTAAAAAGAAAAAAAATAGAAATTATTTATCTATTTATTAATAATCATACCCATTGTTGATGTCTATTTATAGACACTATTGCTTCTCTCATACGATGCTTTTGTAAAAAATGACGAATAACTATGATAATATTAATGAAAAAAGTGATAAATATTGGTGTTATTATATTTCCAATCCAATCAAATAAACCAAGTGCAAGTTCATATTGATAACATGTACCACCACAAACAAATGCATGAATATCATAATAAGATTGACATTTATATAAGTATACCAGAGAAAGATAAAATAAGGGTCCATATAAAATAAGACATGCAATAGGAAAATAATGTAATAATAAATAATGTTTTGTAATAACATTTTCATAATAAATAAATAAATATCGTTCAAATGATGTCCATGCCATTAATGCAATACTCAAGTAAAACAATGAATAATTTAAACTAATCCAAATTGGACATATAGTTTCAGTATGAACATCTCCTCTATATAGGAAAAAAAGAGTAATAGGTAATTCAATTGTAATAATTAAACCATTCTCAATAATAAGAATTCCATATATTTGACTGTGTAAACGACGCCATTTGAAATGATATAATCTACAAATTTTTCAAAAGAAAATTATTTATTTGTTTTTTTTGTATAAAATAGAACTTACATAAAAAATACACAGGCAAGAGAAGGAACTTGTAAAGTAAGTAGTATATAAAATTTGATCGTATGCTCCAATATTGGTGTAGTAAATACATCGTTGTCATCAGATATGTTATCTGATTGATTACTCGCACTGGTTGCCATTGAAAACTAAAATAAAATGAAAAACTAAAGATACTTTAACTTAGTCTTTTATAGTAGGAAAAAGAAAAAAATCTTCTGTCAAAATTTTAAACTGACAGATGACAATATTTCATTATTTTTCTTAATAAAAAGTACAACGGAAAGGTTTTTACTATCACAAAATCGAGGTAATGAATAGAGAAATTAATGATTATTCGATAGTTTTGAAAACATACTTCCATAAAAACTACTCTAATATATAACTTCAATACTACATATAAGCCGAAAGTTCTTAGAAAGTCTTTTTAGAAAAATGCTTTTAGAAAATTAATATAGTTACAAGTGAAAAGGTTTATTATCTACTATTGCAAATAAGCTTCTTGCAATATTCTCAAGTTTGAAAAACATGTTGACATATTTGGTATTATCTGTAATACTTAATTTTAAAAAAATGATATGTTATATGTTTGATCTTTGATTGCTTTTATATGTAAAATAAAGTATTTCTAAAAGTTTTCTTTATTTAAATAAAAATGAGCTTTATTATTTGATATACTATCATCATTCATTTTAATACATAATCGTTGAAGTTGTTTAACTAATGGTTTTGGACCACATACAAATACACCAATATCTCGTTTATCTTTTATTTTCCAATCTTCATCTATAATTGATTGAAAATCAACATCAAAATTTGGTCGTCCATAATGTGTTTTTGCTTGTAAACCAGTCCATATATCACATGTATCTGTATTATTTTCAATAATTGCACGTGCTTCACTCATTGACCATTGTGTTAAATAAATCTTATAAGTAAGAAAATTAATTCGATCACGTAATTCTCGTTCAAGTTCTTGCAGCATTTCAGCAAACCATTCGTAACATGCTGTAGTATTACACATCCAATAGAAATAAACACGACGAAGTCGAAGATGATCTGCTTGAGATGAACGAATATGTTTTAATATTGCGGCATATGGTGTTACTAAATAAAAATTTTATTCTGTGAATAAATAAAAGTCTATGATGCATACCTCCAATACCAGCACCAATAAGTATAACACCATCATAATTAAATACATCATCTGCTGGACTTCCATAAGGTCCATCAATACTTATTCGAGGAATATCTTCTGGATATTTTTCAAGATTTTTTGCTAATTCTTTTGTCCAATTACCAGTTGTTCGAATATGAACACTGACATAATTTTCTTCAGCTGCAGATGTAACCGTAAATGGATGCCATTCAAATTTAGCAAGAGAAAAACATTTTAAATAGATATATTGACCAGGTTGTGGTGTTGTCATAGATTTTTTATTAAAATGAATTTCAATAACATTTGATTTATGTCGAATAACATTTACAATTTTAACTTGTTGTAAACTACGTATAAAACGAAGAATACGTTCTAGAATATAGAGACATAATGGAACACATAACCATATCCAACTAGCTGGTTTTGAACCTGCAAAACGTGGATATATACGACATTGTTCATTAGTACCCCATTCACGATAAAGTGATGCACATATATCTGGATTATGTTCTTGAAGATTTATTTGTGATTTAACAATACCTTGTAGACCATGTAACATCAAACAAACAAAAAAGACAATAAATAAATGATGAGTATACCAAAATATTTCATAAAATGATCGTCGAATTAACATTGTTGATGAACTCAACATAATAAGTAAACAAACACATAGAATAACACCTGTAATTCCTGCGGTTGTACCAAACATCGCACCAACACCTAATGTATTTGAATTGATTTTATCAAATGGGTTAATTTGTGAATCGGATGATTTTAAATATAATAAATTAAGTACAGCTGCAAGTGTTCCATATTCATTATGTACATCAATTAAACGTTCATAATTATAAATATGTGCACTAACATGTACGAATGACCAAAAACAAATAGCATAACCTACACAACGATGAAATTCAACATGTTGATCAAATAAACGTATTGTAAAACGACGAAAACGAGATTGAATTATACAATGTGGTAAAAGATATCGTATTAATGATAATAAATTACGACAAACAGGTAAAAGTATTAATAAACAATTAAAATTTAAACATAATGCTGATGCACGTGCAACACTTACACCATCTGATATTAATGCACGTAAATAAAAAAATGATCGTGATTGATGATAATTAAAAAATTGAGCAATAAAAAGAATTATATTTGTTACAATCCAAATAAATAAAAATAAAATTGTTGCAAGATCATTGACAATAAACAGTCGAAACCATAAACGAATTGATTGCAAAGACATAGGACTAAAACTACTTTATTAGAAATAATTTTTTTTTAAGTACGATAAATGTTGTTGTTGATGTTGTAAATCGTTTTTAACTATCTCTTATTTAACTTACTATTTTCAGCAGTCTTTTTTTGTAGGTATGACATTCTCTCAATGTTTTTGTTTGTCTTCAGAACGGAATAAAACAAATATATATATATATATCTCGTATCAAATGATAAAGGTCTTACACAAAGAATGACTAATTTGAATCGATAAATGTCAGATAATTAAACGCGACATGCAAAGAATTTTGTAAATTTTTTATTTTTGTAAAATGAAAAAAAATTATTAAATTCTACGAACAAATCGATTAAATAATGATCAAAAAAAAAAAGAAATAGTATTTTATCAAGTAGCAGATGTTACAGTAGGATTATCCATATTTAATTCATTTCTGTTATTAAATTCTTGATGTACTCGCCGTTTACATAAATCCGTTATAAAAACAGGTGATTTTCCATATTGTGGTAATTCTTTTGTTTCAACTCGAATTCTACCTGCTGCAACACCATATTGTCCAGCTAATGGTAAAAACCAAAAGCAATTTTCATCACGTAATGCAGCAAATATATAATATAAAGCACCAATAAAATAAAGTATATCACCATACTTATATAATAGATTTTCTCCGTATTGTTCTGGATATAAATTAATTTGAATATTATATATAATATAAATAAATGAACTTATTGTTGTCGTTAAATATGCAATTGTATCGGGATCATCAAGAGTAAAACCTCGTCCTATTGTACGTGTATATGTCATATACCAAGATATTATCCTAGAAAAAAAACAGACGAGATAATAGTATATATTTAATTTTTATTAATATTTTCGAATTATTTTACCATCCAAACGCCGCAAATAATTCAATAATAGCTGCTGTCAATTCAATTTTATGTACAGCTAATGTATAATAACCGCCAAGAGTATCTTGTTTTGAATACCAAAAAGCTGACCAAAGATAAAGTCCAGCTTCAATATGATTTAAATATTCTGGTATCATTATAATATCAAGCCATGATCGATCACGCCATGCCCACCAATAGAGAAAAGCTGATAGTAAATGTAAAAAACCAAGTATAATATAGTATCGATTAATATTTGAATTATAATCAATAGGCTGATCAAGATTTTTTGATAGAATAGATGATGTTTCTGTTGAATTGTTATTAAAACTAGGATGAAAATTAATAATTAAAATTCCAATTGAATAAATTAAATAGACTATATTTGCAAGCATATATCGACTATGTAATAATTTTCTCCAGCAGATTGGAAATCGAGCTCGTACATATTTCCATCGTAATGCTTTCCAAAGAGAATCAAATGATTGAAGTTCATAAATAGGTGTAGTTAAATCTTTATTATCAAGAATTAAGACTGATGATGCTGGTGTTATAGCCATCGTTTGTATGATTGAATAACATCTTTTCCGACTAGAATATAGACAATGGATAACGAATCATCAACTAGATACATAGAGGGCATCGATAGATAACCATATCAACAATATTTATACGATACAACACAACTATTTTATGATATTCAGTATTTATCTTATATTATTTTATTATCATATATTTTTATTATAAATAGAAAATCATTTATACAAAAGATAAAAAATAATTAAAAATCTGTTAATTCACAATAAGGAATTGTATTACTGTCTGAAGACGCATTTTTCTTTCTTCTACGTTTACATATATCTGTAATAACTATAGGTGGCAATCCATATTTTGGCAATTGTTTTGTTACTACTTCAATTCTACCTACTGCAACACCATATTGTCCAGCTACTGGTAAAAACCAAAACCAATAATCATCACGTAAAGTACCAAAAAGATAATAAACAGATCCAATAAAACCAAGAACATCTGCATAAGTAAATAACATATTTGAATTATATTCCTCTGGTCGAATATAGACCTGCAAATTATATATAAAATACATTAATGTATTCGATGTTGTAGTTATATAGGCAATTGTATCGGGATCATCAAGAGTGAAACCTCGTCCTAATGTACGTGTATACGCTGAATACCAAGTAAACATCCTATAAAAATAAAAAAATAATCAAAATTATTTATTTTTTTTCTCTTTCATATATTTACCATCCTACTGAAGTAAATAATTCAACACATGATGCACTTAGTTCGATACGATGCACAGTCATTGTATAATAACCACCAAGAGTTTCTTGTTTTGAATATAATAATGCTGACCAAAGATAAAGACCAGCTTGAATATGATTTAAATATTCTGGAATCAAAACAACATCAAACCATGATCGACCACGCCATGCCCAGACATAAAGAGAAGCAATAACAATATTCAAAGCAGCCAGACCTTTAAATTAGTAGAATTTATTATTGTACAAGAAGAAGAAGAATTTACCGATATAAACTCGATTAGCGTAGTCATCTGTGTATACTGGTTCATCAAGAATGGATAGTGTAGTTGTTTCATTCCATGTTTCACTTATTATTGTTGTCGTTAAAATCTCTGATGATGAGTCAATAAAAGCTGGGTCAAAATCAACAATCAAAAGTCCAATTGTATATCCCAAATAAACTAAATTAGCTAACATATATCGATTATGCAGCGAATTTCTAAAGCATACAGGCGCTCGTTTTCGTATATGTTTCCATTGTAATGCATCTACTATTGAATTAAATGCTTCATATTCAACATAACGAGTGGTTACGTTCGTGGTTACTTCGTCAGTTTTCTCATCGGAACTAACAACAGCCATTGTATTATTAGACATAATTCGTAGGATTTAATAAACTTATATGTCACCTCTATAACTCAGACTCTCACTATAAATATTTATAATATATATCAAGAATTTTTAATATTTATCAATAAAAGACATCTGACATATATATATATATAGATAAGCATCTATGTAAATTTATGTCTTATTATATACACTTGAATATAATAGGTTGGTTTACTTATATGATAAGACAAATGAAAAAAATATATTTAAGTATCAAGCAACAGTAGACATGTAGATAGTTTTATTGCTGTTAGTTTTCTTACAGAACTAAACCTTGATTTAACAATATGCCTTAAAAAGATCGAAAATTAAAATGTCACATATGATAATAACACAGGTTAAGTGCACTCTATGATATAAAAGTAAAACGTATCTCTTGCTACAGCAGGTGGGAGTGATTGAGGTAGACTAAAATTACTTTCGATATATTCACAGTAAATCCACTCAACTGATGAATATCGACATAGTAAATACGTATATAGACAAAAACAAGCGTAAAAATATTTTAAAAAAATGTAAGTAGGAGCAAGTAAAAGACAGGAAGAAAAAGTAAATAAAAAGATACACGTTAACCGTCACGTTAACCAAAGAAAATGCAAAAAAAATATTCTACATATATTTTTTTAATAAAACTATTTCATAAAATTAAATAATATTCATGACAAAAGAGACAATCCAAAAGATGTTATAATATTTAAAACTCATGTAAAAAGAATTAATAATATATATCTATTATAATTACAATTTAATGGTTATCAGTTGTAGCGTATTTGATAGAAGTTGATCAATATGTTAGTGTATCAGCACGCTCTTGAACACGATGATTGAATTGCTGATGTTAGTTTGACTATTGAAGTTAATTATGACTTTCATTCATGTTGGTTTAACATTTACTCTTGTATTGTGTCATTTATATCATCTTATATCATATGATAATGGAATTATCTATTTCAGCTTCATCTTAAGCTTTGTGGTGAGACAGTTTTTTACAAGATTCTATTTAAGTTTATTAGGATTTATAAAGTTTTCAGGAATATAAAAAAATTTAGAATGTCTTGCCGTTATAATACCTAACCAAGAATCAAAACAGTCAGGTGGTTTCTCTTATCAGTATTTTGCTCTATTAAGTGTCATTACGTCACTTTTGAATTTTATAATATCATGGTATATATGAAAAGCAGAGATAAGAAGACATCAATACATCTGTTGAAAACCGACACAAAAATCTGAGTTAAGTATTTATTTTTATGAATTGAATAATAAAATAAAAAGTATCTAAATGTAAAACTGCTGTCTCATCATTTGTATGGACATGGTTTGTTTTCTCTTTAATCATTTTAATATTAATAAAATATTTGTTACTGTATTGAACAGTTAATCGTTTCATTATTTTTGATGAATTTATAGGCAAAAATACTGCTTTTTAGCGTACAGACATAGGTGATCGTACGGATTTAACAAGATCCGATCTGAATTCAATCACAATTGCTTGCAACTGATTAGATAAATGTAAACTAGCCGTGCTATGGTGTATTGCCCGTGTTACTCTCAAATTCGATGAAACCTTTTGGTATCTGCTCAAGATAATTGAATTCGATCCAGCTAATGATAAAAACAGTCAGCACAATCTTTGCATTATTTAGTTGAGAAAAATAGTATAGTCTCTTGTCAAGCCAATTAATATAATCCTTGATGATCTACAATGCAAGAGGGAACGCATTATTGCTAAACCGACTAATACAATCTCTGATAATTTTTAAAGGCTATGTACAACCATCAAAATATATTAAAAATAGATTTAGGAAAAACAAAACTATTAAATTATTTTTTTCGGATATAATATGTTAAAAAAAATGTCATAGTTTGATGTCAGAAATTTGAAACTATCTTCAGTTTATTCCCACAAATATGCCGAGACCTTATCAATTAGCGTTATGAAAGCTCATTTTTGTATTATATTTATTTTGCGAGGATTATGTTTACAATCTTCTTCAGGGAAATAGGGTATATAAGTATATCATACTTTGGCATTTGCTAGATTCAAATGATAGCTTCAGTTAATTTAATAAATCAAAAGATGCTCTTATCATATTACTGAAACTACTTTTAAAATCAGGACGAACTAGTTGTAAACTCTAGTATTCAATTAAAAAGATAATTGAAATAATTTCTATCAAGTATATAATTTAAAAGCTTATTAATATGTCATAAGTCGCTATTTGATTTTGAAAGTAGCATCCAATAAACGCCTTTTCGCTAAGTTTAAATACATGTTTCTACATATTCAATATTTACTAAATAATATGTTTGATCGACATAGATTTGGAATAATCAACATCAGCTCGAAAATCTTTATAGTTGCTGTATTTTGAAACAAATTAATTCAGTTGATTTATCCGATATGTATGATTAACAACTTTTAAAATCATATTTACAATGTCATTAGTTGCTTATTTTATTTTCTTCGTATGCTTCGGTCCTATTGGTTTAAAATATATCTATCTAACGATTTATATATTTAACGTTCAATCGACTATTTGATACTAAAACTTGATTCATAAATTCATTTGTCGCATTTGAAATAGTAATAAAAAGATAAATAATTAAATTAGTTACATACGAAGTTTTTCAAATATAAATTGAACGATGATGATGATGTTTTTCAGATGTGCTTATTGAAACTTAAATATTTTTACTTTCAGTTTTAGAGTCACTATCTCATTGTAATGTTCTATTGTTGCTAATGCCTCGTACTCGACAAACTGATCGATTACATAATGCTTCAACTACCAATTCTGTGTCAACAGTAACTTACGACAATTCTGATGAAAATGAAGATATAGAAATAAATCAAGACAATGATATTGATCATGCTATTAATGACAATACTCATGATGATGCAAAAAAGATTTCACCAAATGTAGCTTAATGCAAAAAATGTAAAGTTACGTAAACAGTTAATCAACAAGCACCGTTTAATGAATTTAGTATTGAATTCTGCTCTACGTCAAAAACCAAATTCAAATGCAACAATTAGTCGAGAAAAAGAGAGCGATTAGATTATTTAGTAACTGTAGCCATCATCGAAGACGGTCGAACATTTGGTGATTTTCGTAAAAGTGGATTAGCCAAGTTTTTGAACAAAGCTGCAACATATTAATGAAATAAAAAATAGAATTTTATTAATTTTTTATAAAAATCTAAATCAATAAAATCTAAACTACTTTATTGAATAGTATATTTTTTTTTTGAATATTGAATAAAAGAATATTTATTCGAGGCTGTAGATATATATGTGATGTAATATGATGGTAGAGTAGACGAATCATGTCTGTCTTAGCAATCCTTATCAATTACTGCCGTTTTCTACTAATAATATTTAATTAAATTTAAAGGTTCAATGACATTCAAAATGAAAGACTTTTTCAGTAGCAGATCATATGAAAAAGATAGCTATACAATAAGCCAAATAGAACTGCATAGAGTTGTGTAGCATATGCTAAGAAAAATAGCTAACGAATTATTAAGTATCATACAATGGATAACAAATCATCAAATAGATGTCGGAGTAGAAATATTTTATAATATTCAGCATTTATCTTATATTATTTTATTATCATATATTTTTAATATAGATACAAAATCATTTTTACAAAAGATAAAAAATAATTAAAAATTTGTTAATTCAGAATCAGGAGTTGTACTACTGTCTGATGACGCATTGTTCTTTCTTCTACGTTTACATATATCCGTAAGAACTATAGGTGGCAATCCATATTTTGGTAATTGTTTTGTTACTACTTCAATTCTACCTACTGCAACACCATATTGTCCAGCCACCGGTAAAAACCAAAACCAGTTATCATCACGTAAAGTACCAAATATATAATAAACAGATCCAATAAAACCAAGAACATCTGCATAAGCATATAACATATTTGAACCATACTCTTCTGGACGAAGATTGATCTGTATATTATATACAAAATATATTAATGTGTTCGATGTTGTTGTCATATAAGCAATTGTATCGGGATCATCAAGAGTAAAACCTCGTCCTAATGTACGTGTATATGCTATATACCAAGTAAGCATCCTATAAAAATAAAAAAATAATCAAAACTATTTATTTTTTTTCTCTTTTATATATTTACCATCCAACTGCAGTACATAATTCAACACATGATGCACTTAGTTCGATACGATGTACGGCCATTGTATAATAACCACCAAGAGTATCCTGTTTCGAATACCATAATGCTGACCAGAGATAAAGACAAGCTTGAATATGATTTAAATATTCTGGAATCAAAACAACATCAAACCATGATCGGTCACGCCATGTCCAGACATAGAGAGCAGCAATAATAATATTCACGACAGCCAGACCTTTAAATTAATAGAATTTATTATTGTATACGAGGGAGAATAATAAAAATAATTTACCGATATAAATTTTATTAACATAGTCATCTGTGTATACTGGTTCATCAAGAATAGATAATGGTGTAGTTGTTTCATTAGATGTCTCACCTACTATTGCTGTTGTTAAAGTCTCTAACGATGATGATCCAGTAAAAGCTGGATTAAA